TTAAATATTAATAAGTGTCAATATTTCCAAAGAAAAGACCATCAAATCTCAATGCACAGAAAGATATAAACGTGACACTGCACAATCATACGGACAGATTTATAAGTTTATTAAAAAAATATTTCAATATATTATTAAAGACCGGTATATATTAAAAGCTTCTACTTTATAAGGTTAAAAATCATTAAATATATAAATAATAATTAATTAAAAAAGGAAAAGCGTTTAGAGACTGTTCTGTCATTTACGCTCCCTGCTGAAATACTGTTGAAAGGAAGGGGGACGCTACCTGTAAAACCCATTCCTAGAAGATTATATCTAAGCTGTTTTTCTAGCGTTCCTTCTAGAGATGCATTAGATAGTCTAGTAGGGAGAAACGATTCCATTAAACGAAATTGGTACGATTCCTCCAGTATTCTGAATCTCGCGTAGATGGACTAGACACGGAGATTGCATGTAACGGCGGACTTATTTGATTTAACTGAGCATTAAACAAATCTTATTTTCTGTAAAAAAAAAAAAAAAAAAAATAGATAAAGTGTAATATTTTTAACTAAAGAAGAGCTGGAAAAAAATATAGGTACAAGGAAAGCGGAGGCGTAATTGCGTAGTCGTTGTTGTCTTTGAGGAAATTTGTTGCATTTGTTAATCTCTCAGCTTAATTGTCTAAGTTATTCTTATTCTTCAAGCTATTTGCCTCGATTTAACTCCTCGAAAAATTTTCCAAGAACTGAACTGAAAGGGAAAATCCGCATTATTAAAACAAAAATGTCTGGGTTTCTTAAAAACATATCTGTAATCAGCGTCTGATTACCATCCACTTTAAAATTAAAAAAAGATGAAAAAAATTTTAAAAAAAAAGATGGAGAGAGATTATTAATTACGTAATACGGATCTTAGCACTGAAAGGTCATTAATGGCTTCCCTTTTATAAGTAAAATTCAACATTTTACTTAAGAAAATTGCTTTTAGTAACATGTTGTTAGTATATGAAATACTTTATATGCGGCTTAGAAGCATTTTCTTGTTAGTCTTAATTGTCTGTCACGGATTTTATATGGTTTCGCATGCACTCTCTAATTAAACAGCAATAAAATAAGTTGCTAATATCTAAGATGTTCCTTATAAATGAAACTCAGCAGTGCAACAAACGTACACTGGATGTTATTAAAGTAATATATTCTTTTATTTATCGGAAACTTCATAATAAAAGGAAATAAATTATTCAGCATCGATGGGCTTCAAACAAATATAAAGAGGCAGAGTTTATTGAGAAAAAGACTACACTGCACACACGCGTGTAATTAATTAATACAGCTAGATATCAGTATATGAGTGTGATCCGATTAATTAAAGTGAACGCCAGACACTTCTTAATCACTGACTGCAAACATGATTTGCTCATCCAGCAAAGCTAAGTCCCTGAGTAATTCATTATATAATTACCCTGTTTTATATTTCACATAAATATTAAAGATAAGATGTAAGAAAAATAGACGTCTTTATACGGTAAACCTGTTCGAATTCACATTAACTCTAAGGAAAACCACATGCAGCGGACTGCTCAGCCGCTGAGAATCTAACCCAGCATTAATTGCCAATATTCTGCGACTTTTTCTATCCGAGCAGCTGATCCTTCTTATCCGAGCAGCTTATCCTTCTTATGTAGAGACATGGCATTTCAAATTAATTCTCAAGAAGTGAAGCAGATAATGAACTACGCAGACGGTGAGATTTAGCATTGGAAGAAGAAAAAACTGGAAATTTGTGCACGCATATTACATATAAAGATATCACTTGTAATACAAATATTGTACACATTTCAATAAAATTTTATAAGATAGATTTCGTACTGACACTAGCACGCAGGAAAAAGAATAAAGAAAAGAAGTAAAATTCTGCGACGTTTTCAAGTTTAATTTCAGGAAAATTTAGAGCATTTAAAAGAGTTTTCAATTTCAGATTCATTTATGTAAATAACAATTCAAGCTACCAGTATTTCAAATATGTGTATAAAATAAATAGATACGAAATATCTAGGATTTGAAATATATATTTTAGACACTAACCAGCTTTCATACTCATGCAATAGTTTTTAATAGTCTAGAATTCCTAGAAAAAATATCAAATATAAAAAATAAGGGAAGAAAGTTTTATAATAGAAAACACAGTAAATGGGGGATGAATTTTAGCAATAGCACAAAGTATAGACATTAAGTAAGCTCTACTGGACATTGTATTTATTACTCACATATACTTTATGATTTGTTTTTGTCAGAAAGAAATTAAACTAAAAGTGTTTGCGGAAAAGTTCTTTGGAATTGGAATAGGCAGCTATTCATAACCTGAACTTTAATATTTAACTTAGCCAATTACTATTACATGCAGGGCGTACGTCATTAGCCGTTGCAAGGGCGGCTATGCGTCAATCGGATCCATTGACAACCAGCGATACAATATCATTTCCGTAGAGAAAATCAAATTTTTATTCTGGGTACTTTACATATTTCAAATATAAATGGATAATCATACATACTCGACACCTTATTATCTAACGAGGGATTACATGAAAATAATTAAAACTAACTTCACATTAAAAAGCTGCGCTTAGTTATAAGTTTCGTTTAAATCTGAAGGTTATCATCTAATTTGCAAATGAAATTTGAGGAAGTTAAAATTTATTTTTCCTACATATTATTTAATGTTTTTCGTAGCACTGAAACAGCTATATTTTCACACGCTCTGCGTCTTTCCTTTGACTGAAATAATTAATTTTAAAGTGGTGAATAATATATGCATTAAGAAAGAAATTGCAAATTACTTCTTCTTCCCCAGCTGTCCTGTTTTTTCCACATGTGGACTTTTAAATACGTGTCAAGCAATATGAAATATTGATAAGTGCCAACCAAAATCCTCGAATATAGTTACTAATCACAATATCTATTATTATTACAATGTAGTATATATTACATAATATGCATTAATATTTTTTGCTCATTTAAAATAGTTATTACCTAGTTTCAGAGTTTAATGCCTGAAGAGTAGAAGTAATTAAAACTAAAGGAAAATTGTTAAATAAATTGAAAAATAATGGTTTTCAGTAGAACCTACTGTCAGTATAAATCCATGTTTTAGCTTTAATTGCATTTTTCAAAGTTTTGCGTCAAAAAAATGGAAAAAACAACAAATGTTCTGAAAGAAAGGCACGAAGCGGTCTGACCCAGCAACTCAGTTTATTCAAGCGTGATTTTATCATCACATCATTTTCCTATTAGCCGATCTAATAAATTAATCACAACCGTTGAGAAGACCGGATACCAACTCATGCAACCATAGAGGAGCAAGATCGAAATCCTTTGTTTACCTTCCCGCCCCTGCTGGGGAAAGAACTCGCCCGATGACCTTGCTCGGGCGACGCCACTGGGGTTTCCTCCAATTCATTGATGTCTCACTCACCTTCGGAAACACATTTACTGAAGAGAAAGAGAGAAAAGAAACCCTTCTTAGAAAGCCAGAAACATTTAACCGAATCTGTTATGAGACAATTGAGCTCCATCACCTTGTGCGAGTTCGACACGGAGAAAAAATTCTCGCGCGCTGCAGATTCCGTTATCGTCCTTAGCGCCGTTTCCCCTTTCAGTTAGATATCGGTGATAATAACAAGTGCAGATAATGTGTTGCATCAATCAATTTAAACTCGGAATACGAATACGGTGTTTCATCTTTTTAATAAATAATTCGCTAATGTGATCGGAAGCACCTTCACACATGACATATAACTTTCAAATACCCTTTAACTTTGCTAAACTAGGTTAGAATGGCACCACAGTTACGTGTTTCTGTTTTTTAATGTTAAGTATATTAAATGCGTTGGAAATGTATCAAATACAAATATATTCATATACATGTTTACATACATATAAATATCAGGCGTTGAAATTAGCAACTAAAGCAATTTCAGTGGAATGAAATTTCCTTAAAACTTTTGAACAGGGTTTGTTCCTGTTGGAAGTATTTATGTACTTTAAAGTTATAAAAGATATATATGAATTTCTACATCCATGCTAACACACATGCAAGTTTTTATACTTGTAGATATGAATATACATGTCTACGAACATTCATATATATATACAAATACTAATTTAAATTAATTTGTTATGCTGAAATAACAAACAGAGAACATTAAGTCAAAACAAAGAACTGAAAACAAATAGAAAGAAAAATTGAAAATGCAGCGAAAATACATTTCAGTGTTGCGTTTTATAGATTCGTATGAATGATATATAAATACATATGTACATAAACCAGAACCGGGCCGTCAGATTTCAATAGGCGGGACAAATCTCAAAATTCCTTCCCTAAACAATTTATTTTCCCTTCCGGTGAGTTATAAATAAATAAATTAAATAAAAAAATTATCATTTCTACGATTATGTTTAATTTGTTGTATTTTAATTGTTGGTCCTTTCTCTTTTTTCCCTGAGATAAGTGCCTCACTCATCTTCCTTTTGTTAAGACTCTGACACAAACACACAAATATGTGATTCTTATATATATATATATATATATATATATACATCTACATGTACTTGTGTATGTACGCGCATGTGAGTTTTTCGACAGAACTGCATGTACAGAATAATTTTATATTAATTCTTTTCAGGCGATATACTTCGAACATCAATGATTTTAAAATTTTATCCCAGGACATTTGTTTTTTGCACTGTATATATTCTTATTAGCTTAGCATGAGTTGTCATTTGAGACGCATTTTCAATGATTTGGCTTCTAAAAAATGTATTAATTGTTCGTTTACTAATTACTAAATTTTTAAAACTTCCAAATTCCAATGTAGTAGCAATATATTTAATTTATTAATTCCGCATGACATAACCACCCTAACATAAATACTTCGTAAATACTGAATGAACTGAAGTATTCTGAAAAATGTGCTAACTTAAAAATGGCAATTCTGTAGAAGAAAAAATATATCTTACCTGTTGCCATGTCAATTCTTGATAAAATGTTGCTGATGTGAGTGCGACTGTGGTATGCAAAGCCGGCAGCAGCACACCTACGCAAACAGCGACGCGGGTCTTCAGAGGCAATAGACTATAGACAACGAAGAGAACAAACAGAACTTCCCACACTCCATGGGCCGCAGGGTGCTCTTGGCCCCATGAGGCAGCCCCCCAACTGTTGCTCTCTGTCACACTCAGCGGCAGGCCTATTAGGCACAAGCCCGAACATAAAACTAACACTCCATAGCAAAGAGCCGGTAAATGGGCGTCTTTAAAATGGCCCGTTTGTATCAGGACCAGGGCTGCGGCAAAGGAAATACAAACGAAAACAAAGTAGAGTGCTGCAGCACTCAAGAATCGCACATAACCCACGTGTAGGCCTGCTAGGCTAGCTGCCAGTGAAGCTACCAGAGCTAAAACACTGGAAGTTGATGTTTGTTGCAATTTGACTGTGTAACGGCGGTATAGCTGCTCCAGCTCCTCATTCTCAAAATTGTGACGGTTGAGGAGCCGGGAAAATACGACTTTCCGGTGGCTATTCATCGCTTTCACCGAATGGTCCATCGTTTGCGCTCCGACTGTGTGTCTCGAGGTCTCGGCGCTCCGATACTCTTCGTTCGTTGGCGCCATCTCTCTGTCGCCAAGGCGCTCATTTCGGTCTTAGAAGATCGCCTAGTGGTTGCGTGCTCTATACGTAATTTCTGCTACCGAAAGCGCTGAGGTTTTGGAGTGATAGGAGGAAAGTGGGATGTGTTCGCTAGTGGTAACAATTGTCGTTCATTGTTCAGAATGGTCTTTCTCTCCGATACAATGTTTCCCTCAATTTGCATGGACACCTTCGTTCCGTAAATTATATCAGTAATTAGATTTCACTTGAACAGAAACCAATTTAAGTTATTTTCCATTTAGAGGTATTTAATTATACGATGAAATGATTCTGTTTTTTTTTTTTTTTTTTTTTTTTTTTTTTTAATGATGCTGAAAACAATTTTAATAGAATCAATTTTCTTATGATTACACGCAAGCAGAGAGAACTGACACATTAACATGTGGATAACTCGTCAATCACTATTCGAATCAAAACTGTAGACTGAAAAAAATAAAAGATGCTTAACATATATTATATAATATTCTGTTTTGTATAAGTAAAATAGAATATTATATAATCTATGTTAAGCATCTTTTAAAGTAAAATTTAGATTTAGTACACATGCATTACTTCAGCTTCCGTCAAAATTTGATAGGAGTAAATGTAAAAATTCAACAGAATTAATATTTTTAACCGAGAAAAATATCTTAAAATGTAATAGTCTATACGTTGCTTAACCAATAACAAATTTATAACCTCATTTATTTCTAACAGATGTAAGAAGCTGAGTAAGTAAAAGATATAACAACAGAAGCATATTCTCCCCTTCCCGCCCATCGTTATAAATATTCAATATTTGCCTAAGATATAATTAAAAAATTAAGTATGATTTATATGCAAACATACATGTATCTGTTATAGAAATTCCACATAAAACATACATGTATCTATTACATAAATTCCACTATAGAGTGTGTAAAACGTTTAATTAACCTGCTGCGGAGAGTGAGCTAGTTCTTTTTCTGCAAGCCAAATAAGCAAGTGAGATAATTTTTTTATCTTGTTTTATTTCAACAAAGTTTAAGCAATTAAAAAAATTAAGTATATTTTATTTTTGTAAAATTTTGTAAAAGAAAATACAATAAAATTTTATTTTTGTAAAATAAAATACAAAACATAATAATTTTTAAAAATAAATGATGAAGCTTCTTTTATTTACCTAAAGGCACAACCCATTTGTATTTCAAGTAAAATAAAATGCTGAAAGTAATTTTTAAGTAAGTAGGACTTAAAGCTACTTGCACAATCTTGTTTCCTTCTCATGAAACGTGAGAATGGATCCAACGTTACCACATTATTTGCTATTTTCATTTAAAAAAAGCAAAGAAATGCTGTTGCTTTAACTAAGCAATGAATCACGGAACGAACAAAGAAAAAGGCCTATTTGAAGCTTTTATTTGCTTTTCTATTATTGTTTGTTAGCTACATATTTGCCAAATCAAATATGGTGATAACTTGCTGAGAGTTGATGAACTGTTATTGAATTAGATTCCTGTGTATGACATGAGTAAATTAATTTTTATTATAACCCAAAAGACAATTCGTACTCATTCATCTAATTAGTTTACTAGTAATCAATATTTCTGTAAACAAAAAACCTCTCTTTTATCATTTTATTTTTATATGTTATGTAAATTAAAGAACAAATAAAAAAGGCCTAAATGAATTAATAAAGATCATGATTTAAACAGATGCGCAGGAAATATAAGCTAACAGGATAATTAGAGTTCAGATATCTAGAATCCAACTGTTTAGATTCCAGTTACCCGGTTGGAGTCGTAACTAAATCTTTGGGCAAACATATACACTGAACTCTCTCTAAGATGATGATAATTCGCAATGCGAGATAATTATGGTCTTCTATGAAGATGGTCATCTTAGAGAAAGCGATTATTGGTTTTCATCATGGGTTTACCCTGTTAAGGCTACTGCTGTCCATTAAAGTAAGATAATTAGAATGAAAGTGTGGTACTTCGGATTCATTAATACCATTGCATTAATAAAATTACGAATTAAGCGCAAAGACAAATAGCGAATAATGTAGCAGAAGTACAAAACGTGTAAGGAAAAAAATTATCAGGTATATAATTTTCTGAAACACTGTAGATGAACAATTTAAAATACGGTACACAAATCCTAAAAAATCCTAAAGACATACAGAAACCTTGCACTGTAAATATTTTCTAGTAATTTAAAAAACCCATGCTATTTATTAATGAGATCAAAGTAACCCCTTTATTTTACTGAGCTCACGTATACCTACTTGATCTTCCCTTTCGGTTAATCATTTTCTTTTCTAAAATAGTTTTAACTTCATAGAGCAAGTCAGCCATCTTACTGCTTATCTATTGCCATCGCTCCTTTTTGTCAACTGTCCTTTGCTACAGATTACCGGCAGGACCTTCGATTATTTTAATCATGTTTTTAAAATTAATTATTTTAATTTTCGTTTCGTAGACATCTTAATCTGAGGTAACTGATGCCCCGTAATCTATGCTGGTGATCTACGAAATTTTAAAATATAAATAAATAAAATAAAATAAATTTGCTTATACATGCATTTAAACGTGAACTTCGAAACAAATGCGACTTGTTATACGTACTAGCAGTGTATATAAAATATGAAAAAATTCTTATAACTAGCTTAGAGATATGATGAACCATAACCATCAAATCAAGCCTATATCACAAACTGCACCATACTGGGAATGGATAGTATTTATGATTCAGAAACGATTAGCTGTTGTTTTCTGTTTCAATAGTTTTACTGTTCGTTCTACTGTCCGATGATCTGAAAATACAGCTCCTTGATCTAACACGTAGTATGATAGTAAAACTAGACATTTTGATGGCTGCCTTAAAGCATATTTTATGGTCTCGGTCAGTTAGGAAACTGTTTTCTTAGATAAAATATTGATATTAACAATACTGATGCCTAATTATCATGTCAGAAACACAGTGCACTTTCAGCTATAATCATTTACGGAAGGTATTCATCATGACAGTTTTTATTGTATATATATATATATATAATTTTAAAAAGTTAGAGGAATAAAATACCTACAAAAAGCCGTAAGAATACTTGAATGCAACCTATCACTTTTTTCCGAAACACATTGCAAAAAGAAAAACTTTAATAAGCAATATTTGAACCGAAAATGTTTATATAACAGGAAAAATGGAATCATATGAGTACCAAAAACATTTGTTAATCTCTTTTATTCAAAGCTTCAAACAGAACTTGTCAAGGGGAAAGTGTTTTGAAGCTTCAAAACAAGTTGATTGCTAGACCAACTAAAACAAGTTTCGTTCCAACAAATCCTCTGAGACTTGAAAGACAAAGCGAACTTAATTTTTTTTTAAAGTGCCAAAACAAATTAACTGTCTCATTGAATTTGTCTCTTTTCCCGACTTGTTTCAGCTGTCCAAGCCACAAAAGTATTGAATGTTGAAAGCAAGTACTACTAATAGTGACTAAAAATTGAAACAAATAATATACAAGGAAATTGAAAGATACAAGTAAAATCCAAAAACTTAACTAGCCTATCAAGGTGAACGATCAAATACATACATATACTGCTTTCCTGTTGATTATATAAATCTTTATATACTGCTTTCCCGTCGATTATATATACATATATATAATTGACAAGAAAGCAGACACTGATAATGTTCAATATATCAGTGACTTTTTTTCATTCTTTTAATCAGCTGTCTCTAAGTATATATGTATATATAAGAAAAAGGAAATAAAAATTCGATTACATGGTTAGTATTGGATGAACAGAATATGAAGAAAATATATAAAATTAAAAACGAAAGAGGGAAAAAAAAGGGCAAGCAATAAAAGATCAGTTAAAACATAGAAAAGTGATTAGTTCCTATTTATCATTTGGGAAGAAGGAATGAAGCTAATCTAAGCCGATTAAATGAAGAACTATATTTTAGACGATCAATGGAGGTTAAAACAAAAATTATATAACTCAAACTAGCAAAAATCGAAGTAGAAGTTTTTCAGCTCAATTGCTTCTAAACACTTTCGTAATGTGGCAAATTCAGGTACGAAAAGCTTACTAAATTCAGTGAATCAAAAGTGCTAAATTTAACGAAAAAGTGCGCATGGGACATTAGGAAATAAAAGAGCTAAATTTTGCGAAACCAAAGCACGTACTTGAAAAATTAAAAAGGCACAATAAGGAACAATATAAATATACCTAACTCGCAAATCACAAGAAGAAAAAGTAAATCCCAAGAAGAAAAATAGATCTCAAAGAACAGAAAATGTTTATTCATATTCAAATTAGGCATTCAATAAATTTATTATTATGAACAATATTAATTAACCATGATTCAGCGTGAAATGATTTGCATAAAGCATGATTTGTATAAATGTGAAAGGGGACTTGAACTGCGTAAGTATGCTTGTGGTAATTGTAAAAAGGAAATTTAAAAAATAAGACGGTATATAAGTCTGAACTTCACTTAGAAATTACTATGGTACTTTAATTTAAAAAAAAAAAAATCGTTAGCAATTATAAACAAACAAGATATATAATGCATAAATAGGATACTGGCTGAATAGTTTCATCAACGTAACATTAGTAGTTCAATCGTATTCTATTCTCAGCTACTGAATGCAGTAACTGCAGGAGATTCTCATGACTTTTCCTATGCGTAATGTAAATACTTATCAGTTTTCTTTACAAAGTCCTCTCCGAAGGCACTCTTCTCTTAAAGCAGATAGCCACTGAGTAATCTAAGACTGAGTAATCTGACTAAGTGAGCAAGAGTGCATATGTTGTTCTCTCAATCAACTAAGCTTCTCAATCAACTTCATACAAAATTTCAATTTATAATTTCAAATAGATCATTAAAAACTAAATGTAAACTGATAGGACAGATTATTTGATTTAAT